GTGTGTGTGTGTGTACTAAAAGAATGCAAAATAAATGCAAAAAGTAGATAAACCATCTGTGCATATGTATATGCATGCTTAATTCTAAAAGCCACGCTTAAGCAAGGCTTCTTGGTTATAGAGCATAAGTTAAACAAAACAAATGTTCTCTGTGCAAGAGTAGTTTTCAAGTGTGACTGCAATAAACAATTTTGTATGTCAAGTGTGCAGGGCGGTTCTTCCCTCAGCAGATCCCTGTTCCTGTAACTAAGCTCAGCAAAGTGAAGAAATCTGCATCAACAAAGGTTTGGTTATATTTACTGTACATGTTATTGGCTACCCATAACTAGCTTTAAAAAGCACCTGCAGTGTCTCCACAATAAACACTACAGTAAAGGAGATAATCATTCATGGCACAGTATACCTGGTCTCAAACATAGTGACAGGCAATTCATATATGACTTTAGCAGAGTTTTGTGATTCTGAGCCCTGAGAAAAGTGTGAAAAATAGATTTATCTTTGGATCATTCATGAATAACCCTTAACAAACTTAATATTCAGATCCTTTGCCTCCATGTATGCCTATTATCATTCTGTTTATCTTGCTCAGCCCTTTTATATCATCATCCATGTGTCTCTTTTCTCTTAAGATGAAACTGCACTGTTTCTTGTTCCTGGAAGTGGGGCAGACCACAGCCCCAGATAACCCCAGGCCCAGCAGCCCTGACGCACACAGGAGTCCCAAGCTTAACACAGATGGTAACTGTGTGTATGTGTGAGAGAGAGAGAGAGAGAGAGAAGGCATGTGGTATCCTGTTTGGTATGGAGGGTGAGAGTGCAGCCAGACTGAATGATCAGACTGAAGCCTAACATTTCCTGTGGTCTGTGGACCAGCTGAGCAATGAGATGATGTGTCAGTTTGAACGTGTAGTAAACAAAAGAGAAGCAGAGTCACACCACAGTCCAGTTAACAAGAAATGATGACTTACTTCACATCCTACTGTCCTCGTCATTAACAATTATACTACTTTCAGTCTATGATGGTGCAAATATATTTACGTGGGAACTTTGATGAGCACGTAGTTTATTATATAAATATACTGTTTGTCATTGCATCCACTAGAGCAAGTTAAAAACTTTACTATGCAAAGAAAAAGCAGTTCTGGCCTGACTCACATTTTAAATCCTTTAATCGTGGATGGATGCAAGTTAAAGAGGAGAAATACTAGCTGTTAGAGTTCAATCAAAAGCACTCATAATTCTATAAGATCTTGAACTTTCATATCTGTGGAGGCACCATCAGTGCCAACTAATGTAAAACGGCTTTACAGGACTATCCAAAAGTCTTGAGCCACCAGAGCCAGTGGTCTTCAATAATAGTTCTCCAGATTTTCTGAAGGTCTTTCAAAGTTTTTATATGTTTCTATATGTCCTCAACCAGAAAAGGCCTTGGATGGATGGACTGGTTACATTAACAAAAGTGATCCTTCACATGCAAGTGATAAGTGATTCAGTCTTATCATTTTTGTGGACTTTCAAGATTAAGTGCAAGTTAGTGTTCTCAAGACCATCTCACCATTACACAAAAAGAGAAAGAAAACAGAAATTCCAGTTTAGAGTTTTTCAACTGATAAACTTACATCTAAACACAACTCAAATATCCATGTTCCCAGAGGACAAACCTAATAATTTTTTAGTTTTCATCTAATCAAACTTAAATGTGTCAGTTTAAACCTATGCACTGAATGGATGCAAGCTGATAAAGCTGAATAAATGCAGTTTGAATAAGAGCATTGCTAAACTATGTATGTCATGGTATGTAACTATGTAACTGACTGACTGGAAGCATGCATGTAGGAGCTGTAAGTAAATCAACAGTTTTGCACATCTTCCATTGAAATGACAGTGTAACAGAACAGAAAAGAGGAGTGAGAGAGAGAGAGAGAG